CACTCCTGACAGATGCGTGCGATATGTGGACATGTATGAGCATACCAGTGGCCTGCTCTCTCTCGTTTGCTGCTAAACGTGGCATGATGACCGTGTGTGACATTTCATTTTTCCTCCGGGTTTTTAAAGCCTTCACCAGCTGAGCTCAAATCATCGAAAGAACTCATTGAAAGTTTTCAAACAATGTCCTTACGACTCACACATTGAAAAGTAGAGATTGGCACCGTCCGGCACGGTATTTTGTTCTTTGGGCTGAAAGGTGTGGCTCCATTGTTTCATAACCCACGACTGATCGTAAACAAAATAGTTTTCGTGTACAAAGTTTTTTTATCCAAAATGATTTGGCATTTAACTTTGTTGCATTTTTAATGCCTCTTAGTGTACAAAATCCCCTGTATGTCCTACAATAAAACACACATCAGGGAAACAGGGAGGGCGTTCAGTCCAAGAAAAAAGGAACACAGGACAGAATGTGAGAAGGAAACGGGACTATAAACCGGGACGAGGGTCTTTTTTACTCTCACACACCTGGGATACTGTCCTGAGGAAGTGGGACTGCAGGTGGCGCTGTCGTCCTGAATCAATCGGTATGAAGACGGCACCAAAACCTGTTTAAATCAAATGACCGAACACGTCACAGCAACATCAGGGATTGAGCAGAACAAACAGGGATTTAAACAAACTCTTGGTTTGAAAAAAGAATCTAATAATATAAGTGGAACTTGAAATGTATTGTTCTTTATTTTTCCTCTGCTGTCAGTGCACGCCTTCCTTTTGTAATGAGTAGAATCTTTGTACTTGCCTCTTAAAGGGGCTGTACCTCAAACTAAGTCAAAATAAGACACCCATGTGCTGTTTGTATTTAATTACAAAACATTTTTTATTGTCCGGGAACTAGGATGTAAGTTCTCTGTCTGAAAGTGGAGAAAAGCAATTATAATTATCATCGCAGTGCAAATATTTCAAAATAAAATCAGGTATAAATGTGCTCAGTTACAAAGATTAAACATACATTTCTAAAATGACTTGTATTACCCTATAAAACTATAAATAATACATTTTTTAATCATTTTCATATTGTGTAATGGTCCCACATCCTCCACCTCTCTCCCTCCACTTTCCTTCAGGGCTCTGATTCTCTGATTATTTTCAGGAGCTGATGACGATATCTGATATTTGTCTTGCTTTTGTGGCCAGTACTTGCTGATGTTGACATAACATTTTTATAGCATGCCCAGTTCATGACCCCTCCACCCTCCTCTCTCTCTCTCCCTCCTCCTCCTCCTCCTCTCCTCCTCTCTCCCTCCTCTTCCATCTCTTTCTCTCTCCCCCCATCTTCCTCTCTCCATCCTCCTCTCTGCCCTTTCTCACTAAGGTAGATTCAATTAGCCCAGTTTCCCCAAGAGCCTGGAGCCATTTTTAGCTCTGTGCTGTGTGCAGGCTCCAGCTCAGAAGAACCACCTTTACCTGACAGAAATGAACCGAGATCAGGACTGGCCCAGGTGTAAACCAAGGCACAGCAGCACAGATTAAAGTGCTACATATACACACAAAAGACAACAACGGGAGCAAAGAAAAAGCAGAGTACAGGTTAATGAATTGTAGGTCTAAAAAACCAATGCAGAATTAAAGGACTGAACTGATAAAATGATGTATAAACTGTAGTCTAAACCATGAGCAAAATACACAAACTCTAGGTCTAAACAAAGTCCAAAAACAGTTCTAAACAAATCTATTTCAGATGTGTGATGATTTCATAATCCCCGATTTGGAACTAGAGCCAATCTCTTTAAATAGCGTGATTTATTTATATATAATATATTCAAAGAAAAATCCACCCATGTTGAACCTCCTCATTTCTTTACTAACCACAGTAATATTTATGTTTATTATATTATACAGTATTTACTTTACTTTGCCTCCATTTCCAGTAAATACAGGCCTCTAGAATGTTGTGTACCACTTCATGAGGTGAAGTATTTACTTAAGTCTGAATTCTTAAACTCTTTGTTCAGCCTGAATGAAGTTAGTAAGGCTAATTATTAAGACATAGTTGTTGTGAAGTGGAACAGGTGGAGTGGTCATTTCATCAACAGTTGTAATCACACTAAACCATGAGGGATTTACCATGTGAAAAAGCTGAATATCCAAATAAAATGTATATAATATAACTGAATTAAATAGAAAATGTCTATTCACTTTGTCTGAGCTCCATGTCTGGACTAGACCACAAATGAAATGCTCGTGTTTTGAACGGAATGTTCCATTAGCAGGACTTTAACCGCTCTCTGAGAACCATGAGGGTATAGAAATAAAAAATAAAAACCCTCTTTATTAAGATTAGGTTGATTGTGCTTGGGATTTCAGAGATTATGACAGAGTTGTAAGATGCTGAATACAAGCCTGTTTGAATCTCCTCAGTGCAGCTGATCCACCCATTTGAGCCCCCGAAGGAGCAGCTTATGCCTCTCACAGTAAAGTCACAGCAGTCGCCGCACGCACACACACACGCACGCACACACACGCACACACACACACGCACCAATTTACACTGAACACACACGATTTCCACTGAACTTGGCTTGAACTTAAGGCTCTAAACTTAGTCCCAAATACAGTTTCTCCACATCAACGAAAACTTTTATGCATTTGTCAAGAGACGCTGTAAGAAGTGTGGAAATCTCTGCACCGACAGGCAGCCTATACTAACAAAGGTACATCTGAGTTTGCCACATAGAATCACTGAAGCTATAGAAAAACAGGTTACCACCAGTTATATGTCTGATTATCATGTCTCGTTTTATCAGAAATTAATCTTAACAATTACAACTATATGTAACAGTTACACAATTACAATGATGTTAGATTGATGAAGGTAGAAGGTGCATTACTTTCGGGTGGAAAGGCTCTCAGTGTTTGTAGAATTGTGAAGGTCTGTCAGGGTCACACAGTTTGTTGTGCCATATAATGCTGAAGGAAATATAGATGATAAACCAGATACTCAACCTTTTGCATCCAGTGTGTTACCTGTACAAAATGAAAGTGCCGGAGAGCTCCTCATTTTACCTGTTGCGAGAAACTGACTGTGTAAGAGGGCAAGCCTTAGATGTACAGTAAGATGCCTATAAAACATTAAACCATTATCCTTTTATTAGTGCACAATGTTCAAAATAACACATTTACAAGTGGTAATTAATCAAATTTGAGTTTAGTATAATACATATACTGTATTTTCCTCACTGTAGGGTGCGCTCTTAAGCCTCCAACCCCATCAAAAAATGACTGCGCACCGCAATCCAGAGCACCCCATACACGAATCCACTCGGGTGTCCACTTCAGTAAACTACAAAGCCGCGCCACCCACAGCGCAAACACACACGGAGCAGACAGTGAAACACACCCACAGACACACTCATCACTCCACGCCGACGAGGAACAGAACGGAGGAACGAACCGAAAAAGCGAGTGCAATGTGCCACTTCTAGACACAACTGAACAACTGAGTGACTGCGAACACGCCGACAATCCGTTGGTCCCAGACACACCCTCCCTACACGCCACAACTGAACAAAGCCCAGAGTCACCGTGAACGCCAGGCTGCGTACAGACTGCAGCCTGAAGTGACCCAAATCCGATTTTTTGGCCTCTATGTTCCTGTATCTGATCTTTTAATGACAGTCTGAACCACACAGATCAGATTTTTTCAAATGTGACCCAGGACACTTGGATATGTGCTCCTGAAACTGATACATATCTGATCTTTTGACATGCGACTTCAGTGTGAACGGCCAAAGTGCATTCATCCACCTACACGTTATCAACAAGACACAAACGTCACTATTCTGCACTGAAGTAGGCGAAAATTGTTAATGAACTCTGTGTCACTGAAGTGAAGCACATCACCACTCACCACTCTTGGCTCCGTCTCCACATCCACACGTTCCTTTCAACGGACGTCGCTGCCGCTGCCCCACAAAACACCACGACCAAAAACCTCGTCCTTCTCCTTCTCAATCTCCTCCTTAAAACAAGTAAGTTGTTCATGTTCTGGCTCCGGTACGAGAGGAACTTTAAAATCTCCAGGTGCTCGATGTCCATGTTTGGACAACTTCTGTAAACACAGAGCACGCTCGCTCTCGTTGACGTCTTCGTGTCTCCAGTGCACATGCGGGACACTTTCGGGCCATTTAAAGTTCACACTGGAGTCACATACAAGACACATTTAATTGGAAATGTGAATGACCTCGCAAAAACATCGGAGTTCACAAAAAAATCGGAATTGAGCATTAAGCCCTGCAGTCTGAATGTAGCCAAAGTCCCACTGACCCGTCCAACTGTTGTTTCCTTTAAAGTCTGTTGTGATTTATTTGTGAAAAAAGTTTGAAAATAGACCATTTAATGACAGTGCGCCTTATAATCCAGAGCACCTAATAGCCCAGAAAATATGGTAATTCAGAGTTCCCTTGGCGAGTTACTTGTAAGGGGCTGGAGAGCTACAGGTTGGAGCCCCCTGCGCTAAACGATCATATTGAAAGTCACTGATGCTACTGACACAAAAACACAAAAGCAGAATTATCCCTGAAAATAAAAATTTGACTATCATATCATTCAAATAAATACAAGCTGCAATGTATAAAAAGCTGCATGAAACACTGTAGTAGTATTGAGTCATACAAATGATTCAATTCTCTACAGCTCAAATTCTCTCCTAGTACAGAAAAATCACAAAAACTGGAGACAGTAGTACAGAATAAAGTACTCACAATAAATAATTCATAAATTTAAAAAAAAGAGGTTCTTGGTTGAAATACACCTCCCTCTTCACACATTTAGAAGGAGACATTAAGGGCACGACTCCAAACTCAACCCAAAGCTGCCTGCTCTTTTTAATGTTGTCTAAGTTCACCATCTCTACGTGTGTGTGTGTGTGTGTGTGTGTGTGTGTGTGTGTGTACGTGTGTGTGTGTGTGTGTGTGTGTGTGTGTGTGTGTGTGTTTCAGGCTCGGGTGCTCGCCACCATCGGCGTGACCAGGGGTCTGGGGGACCACCAGCTCAAAGTCCACGACTCCAACATCTTCATCAAGCCCTTCCTCTCCTGCTGCCCAGAGGTAAGACGGTGTGAAGACAGAGCGTGTGTGAAAAGGCCAGCAGGGGGCAGGTGATGGACACTTCTGTTGTCTAAATGTGTGTTCTGTTCACTCTGGTGCTGGTTTGTCTTGGGCTCTTTTTGATCTGATTTTGAAAACGTGAAATAAGGGAGTGGGCGCATTGATCTATTTTGGCAACTTCTGAAAACCTTTGGCACATCACTAGTATTATTCACACGCATTTTTTTTCTCTATGTACCACCAAAAGTTACACAGTGTATCTTTTAATACATTCAAAAAAGTGTCCATGGCATTAATCTTGTATATTTCCATCGGTAACAACTGGAGATGACCCACTCCAGCTGTTTTCAGGCTGGGCAGCACGGTGCCAGTGAAGGTTCCAGCACCAGTTAGACGGGGAACTCAAGTGAACGACCCGTGTCCAAACCATTTAAATGAACCCGCCATGTGTCACCAACAGAGGTTGTGGATTTACCACCAGATAAAAACAAGGCCATACGAAAGTGAATTTCACAGTGAGGAAAATAACAATCATTTATCACATCTTTGAACGCTCTGATTTTCGGCGTGAAGATGTCAGTCGGTTTGAGACTAGGTTCGGGAACTGGCACGTTTCTGTCTCGGCCTGAAAACAGAGTAGAGTAGTAGGATTTTTGGCCATATATACACCTAATAATTCAATTAATGCAAGATAGGTCAGTTTAATGCCATACTGTGGAACATTCCAGATAAAGCAATAACATCTCCACCGGAAAAGTTACATAATGCTCCTTTAAAGAGCTCATGTTACTCTATTTCCTGATATGTTGTAATGTTGATTTCTCATCAAAAACAGAGTTGGAGTTGTGTTTTGTTTGATTCTCACATGTTTAACACAAACCCTGCAGATTTAGACTGACACACTCCACCTTGTGATGTCATGTGGTAATACAGGAAGTGCTTCACTGTGTTTTTGAACTCTATATACCTTCACTAGAATCATTTGGATCATTTCAGATCTGGAATTGCCAAATATTACCAAACTTTGAGGGAGTGAACCATTTCATCACCAACCGAAACACCAGAGCGGAGTAAAACCCAATTTATGGTCGTGCATCAAATCGTCTGCGTCACCTTGAACCTCCTCCTCAGAGCGTCTGCATCGATCGACGTGCCCCTCTGAAATTTTGTAACTACACATCGAACTGACGCAGAGAGCAGGGAAAGCGACACAGACAATAAGAGCTGTGATTGGTCCTCTACATCTGCTCTGCATACATTTCCACTTTCCCGCTTCATTTTGTAAACACAAACAGCATTTTTAAATCCTAGTCTCCTAGCGTTGTGGCAGTGAATTACTTTGCAGCGCATAGACCCTGACGCAGATCCATAAATCGAAAACGACGGTAGGGTTGCGGCGGCAGTGCGCGGCGGCAGTGCGCGGTGGCAGACTGCACTGAATCAATGTAGAACTATAATTCCTCAAGAACAAGGCCTTTCCTGTTGTGTTCACCTGGTTCCCCCTGGACTCTGCCGTGATGCTGCAGGACACAGAGGAGGGAGGGACACTTTTGGCTCTTCCAGAGGATCTGCTGACCCTCCCTGACCAGTCCTCCTGTTAAACTGCACTCAGACCTGCGACTGAGACACAAAGATCTTTGAGACGCATAGTGGAAATTTTGCTGGAAAACAACAAATGATAGCTGTCAACTTGAAACCTACCACCTCATGACATCACAAGGTGGAACAGAGCTTGAAATTTGAGCTTTGAAGACGTAGACAGACCAGGGTTACTCAAACATGTGTAAATTAAACAAAACTGTCATGTTTTTTATGAGGGACCGACATTATAACGTGGTTTGAAGCTCACGAGTCAATTTTGAGTAATATAGGACCTTTAACTTTTCTCTGTGGAAAAGTCAGTTTACTTTTATTTACTTTCAGTGCTATTTACTTTCTTATATTGAGACCGTTTCCATAAGGTGAGCTGGGTGCATCCTCTGAAATGACCCGCGGAAAGAAGATGTGTTGCAGACTGTTGCAGTGGAGTTGAATCCTCTGAATCCTCTTGATCTTTAATTCAGCGCAGAGTTCAGACACAGTTCAGGCCAAGCGCTTCAGAAGCAGCATTTTCCATTACACTTTTCCTTTGAGGGAGCAGAGTGGTGTCTACGGACGACAGAGTGGGAACAAGCCATTACTATTGTTTGTGCCACCTCTCAGACTGAGTATTGATCCTGGATAGTAAATATCGGGAAGAAGTAGCAGGTATTCACTCACGCTGTTGGAGGCAGTGTGTTTTTAGATTCTCGAGTGCAGAGGTGGGTTTGCCTGAGCAGCCAGTCCCTTCGACATTGTGTTTGGAACCAGAGCGTAGAGCGTGAAAAACCAACCGTCCAAATTTTAGACGATCCAAACATGCTCATTTGTATCATGTGTTTGTCAAATGCAGAAAGTATCTCCTCTCTCCAAAATTCTCCTAACATTTACAACAAAACATACTACATACTTTGGTGCTTTGGTTGTCGATTCTGTAAATATCTGCGCTGTTTCTCAGTTCTTTATGTAGATTTTTCTCCTTTTTTTATATGTAAGAGCCATGTTTGTTGTCTCTGATTGGTTAATCACACCTTCTGAAATCAGGGAGACAGGACACAGCTCCAGATCCACTCGTCTTTGTAAAGTTTTGTCAAAGTGTGTGGTTGTGGCTGGTGGTTACTAGCACTCAGTTACATCTTAACACTTAAGTGCATTTACCTGAGGAACCTTTGAAATGAAGTGTACTTTTGAGCTATACGTATACTGTATTTTTCAGACTATAAGTTGTTCCGGAGTATAAGTCGCACCAGCCAAAAAATGTGTAATGAAGAAAAAAATATATATAAGTCACACTTTTTGGGGGAAATGTATTTTATAAAATCAGAGACGAGGAACTGACATTTCCTGTTGAAAGTCAAGTTGTAGTAAAAACAATAGAAGAGAGAACAACAGGCTGTTAACGTCACATGAACAGTTCTTCAGAAAAACTATTATGTAAACAACAGAACAAGTTGACCAATCTCTCCATCTCACTCCAAATCACTAAATCCACTGAAAGTCCACTGTCGTCAGACTCGGCATCAGTTCCAGTTAGAATTATTCCGGTTATTCCAGGATGGTTTCGGTGTCACTGAAGTTCAGACTGAAGTTTCATGGTGCATCCTCCCAGTGTCACAAGTTTCTCTCTCACTCCAAACTTTCTTTCTGCTGCTCGATTATCGTTTTCAGCTGCAGATTTCGTTATTTGCGGTTTGTAATCTGCAAAATCTGATTTTGTTTTTGGGGGCATTTGTGTTCAGTCTTCTCAGTGTCTTTATAAGTTTGTTTAAATGTTAAATTGTTCAGTGGTGCAGAAGTAATGGTACGATCGACTGAAGTGACAGTGGTACAGGAGGAACAGGAGCAGCAGATACTCACACACAAAACTAGAACGTCTCGCCTCTTTAATGTGAAAATTTTAATAAGTCGCACTGGAGTATAAATTGTAGGACCACAAAAACCATGAAAAAAAACTGAATTATAGTTTGAAAAATACAATATTTACAGCATAACAGTGCAGTTTATAGTTATTTGAGTGAAAATGAAAGTGCACTTTATACACTTTATAAGGTTTTTGGTGAAGGGTGCAGCTTCTGCTTGTCTCGATGTTATTACTTTGCCTGAAATGTTCCACTGTATGGCATTAAATGTATCTATCTCCATGGTGACATGGACATGTCATGTCCATACCTTCACCTGCCTTTTCTCCATAGCTCTTTGGATATCTTCTGAAACCCAGTAACTCCTTCATGCTGTTTAAAGTCATTTAGTGAACGTCTCATGGTAAATGTCACGTTTACGAGGTCGCCACGCTCTGAATGTCAAAATATTTGCTTAATCAGCGAAGGGGAAATGCTCAACAACAGAATGTGTGTTTCCACTTCATTTTATTTCATTCACACTCTCAAGCACAGACACTCCAGCTTTTAAATGGCACCACTAACACTTCTGCCACTACTACTGACACAACTACTATGACTGCAGATACTACAAAAACGTCTACTACACTAATACTAATACAACTACTGCTAATGCTAATACTAATACTTCTACTGTATTGTCATTTGTGATGTTCAGACTATCAGAGGTGAATGTTTCTCTCTCCGTTCTCTTTCGACAGCTCATGTTTGAAGTCTTTAAAGGGACAGTCCATCATTTTGGACATAGGGCGTCATTTCCTAGTGATCCAGAGTGTTGGAGACGCATGGAGACACTTTTTGAAATATTCCATCCAGTCCTTGTATTTGCAGAGGTCACTGGTGCTAGACTAGTGCATGTCAATGGTCATAGTTCTCCTGCCACTAAAAACAGTCTTACCCACTCCACAAAACACCCCAAACAAATCTATTATTACACCAGACTGTCCATGTGAATGTCTGTGTTGATGGAATCATTTTAGAAGTAAAACCAACCTTGCATTTGAAGGATTTATGTGTGAGCAGCAGTGAGTTGTACTTCCTGATAGAAAGCTCAGTGGTGGACTGATATCACCGAGCACCTTTCTCACCGGCAAAGTAACATTCCGCTGCTGCTGAGAAAATAGTCCCTCAACATGCAGCGATTCATGTGATGCAAGGTTAGTTTTATTTCAAACATGATTCTATCAACACAGACATTCACATGGACAGTCTGGTGTAATAATAGATTTGTTTTGGGTGTTTTGTGGAGTGGGTAAGACTGTTTTTAGTGGCAGGAGAACTATGGTCATTGACATGCACTAGTCTAGCACCAGCGACCTCTGCAAATACAAGGACTGGATGGAAGATTTCAAAAAGTGCCTCCAAACTTCTCTAACACTCTGGCTCACTAGGAAATGAGGCCCAATGTCCAAAATTCTGAACTGTCCATTTAATAAACTTTCCAGATTGAAATAGTTTGGACCTGAACAGAAAGAGATTGTACAGAGACAGTGAAGATATGGACTATATCAGAACATGAGACCTAGAAGCAGACCAACGATGATATTTTGTATACAGTGACATGTAAAGTACCTGGTGCAGTAGTTCTTGTTATTTGAGAAACAGTTTTAACCCTATTTTAGTGTAATCACAAGGTTTACGTTACAGGTGACTTTCAGTACCTCTCTACCAATGTCCCTTTTGGCAGCAGTTTTTCTCTCACCTTGAGCTTTTCTGTTTAGACTTTTCGGCCAAATGAATCAACATTTGCGCCCCAAGGCCAGTCACACATCAAAAATATGAATCACTGATGCTGCCTTTAAAATGATACATTTTCTCAAAACCGCAGTACATTGTGTGTCACTTATCGCCTAACCTCACCGATCCTGAGACATAGAAAAAATGCAGGAACGCAGTATCTTATCTTGTGTGTCATTTTGGAGCATTTATCTGGACTTTTGTAATTTCGTGGTCAGAATGTGAGAAGTGCCTCCTCCAAACCAGCTCCACGAAACATACCCACGCAAAGATACTCAAATATTTGCTAAGTGTTTAAAGTTTTACTGTTTAAAGTGTTGTTTGCCCTGAAAATGGCTGTTTTAATTCTTTTAATTAATGAATGTATTTATTTATAGAGACTGTGGGGTTGAGTGCACTATGTAAGAGTAATAGTAGCTGCAGCTTTGATTCCCAGCTTGTGTTTTGATTCCTTTTATTGCTTAGATTAAATCATTTCTTGATTTGAATCTCTTCAATTCTTCTTTGTACTGTTGGTTTTCTATTGTCCTCATGTGTAGCAGTGTAAAATGAGTTAAACATGTGTGTGGTGCGTGCTCACTGACCAGTGTCTCAGATGCACAGGACATAATGGACAATACATTTAGTCGTTGCGTGTCCTGTGGTGTCCTCCAGGTGAAGGTGTACCCTCTGGCACAGACGGAACACGGGGCCGATGACGTTTTGGTGCTGGGGACGGACGGGCTGTGGGACGTCCTGTCAAACCAGGAAGTGGCTGAGGCCGTTTCCTGTTTCCTTGGAAACTGTGACCCGGACGACCAGCACAGGCAAGTGACACATGGACTAGTGATCTAGTATCACTTTAGCAAAGGAATTCAAAGAATGTTTGGCTCCACTTAAGAATAACTGCCCCTTCAGTTTCCTTTATGAACAATACACACAGACATAATCATTTATTAAGAATAATTCAGGCTTAAGAACTTCTTCATGAATCACTAACCCCTAAAAACCAAAACAAAACACCACTGGTTGTACTTTATGATAACTACACCTTAAATAGCCTTTTTAAAGTATGAACAAAGACCTTATTCATAATGAAGAAGTTGTTCATGATGATTCAGGATTAGTAACTTATTAATTAAGGCACTAATTAAGTACTTACTAAACCTTAATCATTCTTAATAAACCATCTGTTCATTATGAATTAAGTCTTTGTTCATGCTTTATTAAAGCTCATTAAAATACAGTGTTTCCCACAGGAAACTGGTTAGGCAAGAAGGTGCTGCCAAAAAAGTGAGGAGCGGGTGGAGTGCACGGAGATTCTGTGTGGTGACTGGAGTTTTGGGGGATTCACGTGGTTCAGAGGGTCGTGATCAAGGCGGCGGCTTTAACTATAAAGTGCTGCGGGAAACACTGAAGTAGTTCTAAATGTAAAGATAATGTACATTTTTATGACTCTGAAGTTTTCTTGGTGTTATGTCTCAGCTCGCTAGGGTCATGGAAGCAACAAAAAACAAGGTTGAAAAATGTTAAATTAAAGAAGTAATTAACAGGAATATACAAGATGAATTAAACACAAAAGGGGATCTAAAATATTTACAGAAAATGTCATTTACAAGGTTTTCAACAAAAGCGTAACAAAGGGCCAGGTTAACTAAGGAACATTGCCCTTAACTATGAAAAACTAATGACACAATAAAGGACTTGACAAACACAAAGTCAGTTCTGACAAATGTGTCAAACACACAGTAACCCAGTGACAGCAACCAGAGACGCATGTTACAGACAAAATATGAGAGACTAGACGGAGACACACGAACACACACAATGGCACAAAGACCAGCAGCCCCAAACAGGTGCCAACGGTCTCCTTCAACAGGGGGGTGTGGCTTCAGGTGAGGCGGGACTGGCAGGTGTACAGGTTCACAGGACGGGTGCATGGGGAAGGATTGGAAATTGCTGCCACACAGACGAGTTTAACAAAATTACAAACAAAAAGGGGAAAGAGCTAAAAGCCTGGGGCCGTAACTTTTGGGTACCTCATTAAAATTGTAATAAAAACAGATCTTTAATCCATTTCTCCTACTCTCTACTTCTCCTTTCTTTCTCTCCCTCTCATCTTCCTCTCTCCAGTTTTTTTTGTTTCTGCACGGTTTTAAGTAGCAAGTGACATAAAATAAATGTATTGTTAAAAGTCAAACATCTCTCCTCCTCTTCCTCCTCCTCTCTCTGTCTGTCTCTCTTCCTCTCTCTCCCGCTGACCTTGCGGTGACCAGGATGTAAGCTCTTGTTCCCTTCAGTCATTGTTCAGACGCACACATGGAGACTGGAGCGTGTGTGAAGTCGGGAAGCTCTTACCACACATTTACGGGCCGCTCTGAGTCAGGAGGCGGGGCGTCAAAGTTCACACAGCGTCCACAGAGCACATGCCACGCTCACAGATTCCACAGAGGAGCAGTGAATGAGTAATGGACCAAAATGTAAAGCCAGTTTGACATCTGGAACAGCACTAGAAACCAATACATAAAAACACATTACAAATAAGAGTAGTGCATTATTATTATTATTATTATTATTATTATTATTGAGGAGACGTTAAGGTATGAGATTAGTATAGCAAATTTATGGGTGTAATATCCAACACAGAAAAACACTTATAAAAGTTTTTTCACATGTCCTCCATCCAAAATTATGATAAAGTTCCAGAACAGTCATCCACCCAAAACATGCACAAAAGGTCAAATCGTCCAGCGTAAGTTTTCCTGAAGCCTGACCAAGAATAGTTTGAGCTCTGGAGATGAGTCCCCTGGCCCTGCGCTCTGCTCCTGACGGGTTGCCCCAGCAGCGTTGCAGGATGGGTCAAATGCAAATGACACATTTTCCGAGTCAGTAAAGTGTACCTTGATTTAAAGGTGCAGTAAGTTTTCTGGTGGACGGTTTGACGCATTCTTGTTTCCGTACAGATGTTATTGCTTTGTTTGGGATGTTGCACAGTGTCGTAAAACTAAATCTACCTACCTCAAGTATTTATGTTGTTAGGTTCTTTTTTCAGACCAAGAGTTTGTTTTCAGTTTTGACTGTTTGCTGCGTTCTTTCTCAGAGTCACGTGATGTTGCTGCGATGTGTCTGGTCATCTGATTTAAACAAGTTTGGGACAGCGATTAACTAAAAGCCTCACAGGAAATCATAATTACAAATTTTAAAGTCATAATTATGAACTAAGTCATAATTATGAATTTTAAAATCATAATTATGAATTTTAACGTCATAATTGTGAGTTTAAAAGTCATAATTATGAGTTTTATAGTCATATCAGTCATGCAGCCTGTCAAACCTCGTCTTAACTGACAGATTTGAACTCTTGTATGAATGATTGAAGCTTGAAACAGTGAAAAGTACTTGTACATTTGTATATAATTGTAGTACAGTACTCTGTTCTTCCTCTAACTGTATGTGAAATACTGCAAATATTTGTACTGTTTGAGAAACCTGGTGAAATAATGAATCAACTGCACTTTTATCCTCCATTAAAAAGGAGTTTCTTACATTTTGTCTTTTTTCGGTGTCAGAAATCAACACCTCATGTGATAATATTGTATATGAAGAGTCATGTTGCTGTGACCTGTCGTTCAGTTGATTTAAACAGGTTTTGGTGCTGTCTTCCTACCGGTGGAGGCAGGACGACAGCGCCACCTGCAGGACAGTATCCCAGATGTGTGAGAGTAAAAAAGCCCCTCGTCCTAGTTTATTGTCCAGTGGGCACGTTTGTGTTTTTCGATTGCCTCTTTATTCCAGCATCGGTGTTTGTTTTGCTCTGTCCCAGTCCAGAATGTGCTTCTCTCTTTTACACTGGTCAGAAATTGCTGATTTGAGTTGTTCCTGTTCTGTTTTGTTGGTCGTGTTTTGCCTTCACTGTTTCTGTCTCACATCTGTCCTTGTCCCTTTTTCCGTGGACTGAACGCCCTCCCTGTTTCCCCGATGTGTGTTTTATTGTAGGACATACAGGATGCTTTGAGAAGTCCAAACTGTCAGGTATGAAAACAAACTTTTGGTCTGAAAAAAGAATCTAATAACATAAATTGTCAGAAGACTAAGTGAACCTCATTGGACTGTCTCAGGTATTATTTATCATTTTATTTTGGAATTAAAAACACCTGTAGTCTAAGGTTACATTCAGACTACAGCCTGAAGTGACCCAAATCCCTTTTTTTGTTTTGGCCCCTATGTTCCTGTATCTGATCTTTTAATGTCAGTCTGAACGACACATCCGATTTTTTTCAAATACGACCCAGGACACTTGGATATGTGCTCCTGAAACTGATACATATCTGATCTTTTGTCATGCGACTTCAGTCTGAACGGTCAAAGCGCATTCATCCACCTACACGTTATCAACAAGCCACAAATGTCACTTTAAAATGACATGTAATGATTGTTCTTGTGGTGTTGCAGGTACACGATGGCAGCTCAGGACCTGGTGATGAAGGCCCGTGGTGTTCTGAAGGATCGCGGCTGGAGGATCTCGAACGACAGACTGGGCTCAGGGGACGATATCTCTGTGTACATTATCCCTTTAATGTACGGAAACAAACAAAACGAGCACAGCTAACCGTGTCCACCAGGCCTTCGCACCAGACCATGGACCAAAATAAGAACTACTTCCACTTATAAAGGATCTCGGATGTCTCCAGAGAAGCTACTGTCCATTCTTTACTTTCTTTAATGTTTGTTGCAAAAACTATGAATCGCTGATTTAAGGTGCAAACCGGTTTCGAAGGTTATTGTGAAAATGTGAATTATTTTGGAAGAAAAATAATGTAACTTTTCTGTTAGCAGGTACCCGCTATGGTGATGTTATTGCTATACTTGGAATGTTCCACAGTATAGCATTAAAGTGATCAGTTACAGATGTTGTTATTGCCAAAAATACTTTAAAAACCTGCATTCTGACTGAGCGGGGTCACCTCTCCGCAGATCTGACCTGGTTACTTGACCTGGTGGCGTCACGGGCTTGTCTCCATTAACAGAAGAGATGTTTAATGCCGTACTGTGGACAATTTCCAGGTGGTTAAATGATATCTCCATGGAAACAAAAGTGCAGCTTTAAGTGCTCAATAATCCAACCACAGCGTGCGCTTGGTCAGGCTGGGAATCGAACTGTCAACCCTGTGGTTAGTGAGCAACTTCCTGACTCTGTGTAACGTATCTGTTTTTTGTTTACTCTGAATATCGAAAATATCTGAAGTCATCCACACTAGTCTTAATGAAGATTTGGGATTTTGCCATGTTGAAGTGACTAAAGCCTGAAGGCCCTGACTCCTCTTGTGAGCGCAGTAGTGAATCTCAGGACCGCTGTTACTAATTAAAGCCAATGCACAATATTTCTAAGTGAGAAGCCAAGTGTACATGAGTGTGTTTTTGTACTCAAGTCTGCGGAGTGTTTACTTGTTTCCTTTTACTTTACAATTTACATTTTAAATTTATCGGTGTACAACATTTTTCCAAAAATGTGGATCAGATTTAGTCGTGATGCAGACTTGGTCCTGCTCTAGCCCTGGTTTAGTCCTGGTCTGGTCCTGGTTTAGTCCTGGTCTGGTCCTGATTTAATTCCGTACTGCAAAAAACAAGTCAAGTTCAGATGATGCAAATTAAGAAAGTTTGATCATGATTTGAGTCAATTTCACTTGACAAGTACAATTATTTTAGCCTGATTCATCAGCCGGTTTCACTTCGTAGAAACCGTCTGACCTTGCAGTGTTAGAATTTATTCGCTCGACAGCAGGCAGGTATTTTTTATCATTTAACCAATCGCTGCTATTTGGTCGTGACGTATGTAATGCGCTGCTAACGGGGTTAACTGGTATATTAAGCTTTTCCCAAATCCCGTAGGAAGAAGGACAATAACGTCTTTCCTCTTGATAAAATTCACCAAACATTCTCTTTGTTCTGACTTTAAATCCTCAATCTCGGGAATCGTTGACAACACAGAATATATGACTCTTCGTTGATTGGCTGGTGCCCAAACTCACACTTCCGGGTTTTTTGCAAACTGTCTAGTGTATTCTGATTCCTGACCTAGTCGCTGGAGAGAAATGAAATTGAGCAGAGGCACTAGGTGGCGCTGCCCTGGCTACAATGACCTGCCAGTGGAATAAGACTTTGTACTTAATATGAAACTACATCTTGCTGCACATAAAATAAAAACAACTTTTTGCTCTTAAAAAAACACAATCAAATGTTTGAAGTAAGACAAACACACTTATTCCTTTGGTAGATCATTTGACTTGTCAAGATGGATTGACTCAAAGTCAAATGTTCTTAATTGAATTCATTTTAATTTACACAGATACAGTTTTTTTTTTTTCCAGTGCAGGTTTAGTTCCAGTTTCGATGTGGTAAAAATATGAACACAGACTATGTTGGTGAAATATTTGACACTAAAGTAATCAATTTTATTTGTTACTAATAGACTAAACCAGTACAAACATTCGACTCTGATAGATGGTTCTGGACAAATGCAGAACTAAACCAGGATTAGATTATAATCTGGGACTAAACCAAGGTTAAAACAAGACAGGAAGAAGAATACAGTGAATCCATGGTTTTCAGAATGATGAATTAGGACAGTTGCCATGGCGATTAACAAATAAGAACTAAAAATATATTTTGAAAAAGTCCTCAAAATGTTGCATATAACAAGAATCTTAAAATTGTTTATAGTTTAACAGAATAACACAATTTGACTCTAATTCCAGTAAAGCACATCTTCCCTAAAGCACTTAACACAATGAACTGATCATTGTATATGTGTGTATCCTGGACAATCACTAAATACTAGATTTCTAAAACTACAAAAGATTATTTTTTCCTCCTTTTACAAAGGAGAAACAGCTCCTGTTGTTTATGCCTCTGCTCATGGCTCTTTGTGGAGCAGAGTGTCAGTCATCGCCTGTTTGAGTGAAACGTACAGTGAAGTGTGCGTCAAACCATTGTCACCATTACCACTGACAATATGGTGCAGTTTATCATTGAAAATCTCAATATTTGTGTACATTTGTAATAGCTGTTACTATTTTTTTATATAAGCTTTATTTCATATGTATGGAAGCCCATTTCCACCAGTAAATTAAAAAAAGCCTCACAAGAAGAGTTTAAAATCATAATTATGAGTTTAAAAGTCATAATTATGATTTAAAAGTCATAATTATGAATTTTAAAGTCATATCAGTCATGCAGCCTGTCAAACCTCTTAACTGACATTTGAACTCTTGTGGTACGAATGATTGAAGCTTGAAACAGTGAAAAGTACTTGTACATTTGTATATAATTGTAGTACAGTACTCTGTTCTTCCTCTGACTGTATGTGAAATACTGCAAATATTTGTACTGTTTGAGAAACCTGGTGAAATAATGAATCAACTGCACTTTTATCCTCCATTAAAAAGGAGTTTCTTAACCTTTTTGTCTTTTTTTCTGTCAGAAACCAACACTTTACACAATAATATATGAAGAAATGTGGTGTTCATGTACCATGTTTAGAAATGTCCAAGTTTTACCTGGTTTAGTTTTGCTCATTAAAAATATCACTCTTCCCACCTTCATGGTCCCTGGATTATACCATGAAATGTACCATAGTATGGCTTTACTACATGTATTTACTCACTATGACTCACACATTTGACTCTTTGCGGGCTTGCCTCATCTGTGATGAGAAAGAATGAACATTTGTAACAGAATGATGCAAGATGAATAAGTTAAATGCTGCACTGTGTAACATTCACAGTCAAAACAACACACCCCAGTGAGGAAAGACAGGTGCTGAAGTCATCTAGAAATGTGACACACTGCATCTTTAAAAAGTAAAGTATTGTTTTTCACAACAGACCCACACAACCAAACCATTTCTGCTTGGATTTGATTTCAACCTCAGTGTCCAGTGTCAGATCACGACTCTCTCTCTCTCTCTCTCTCTCTCTCTCTCTCTCTCTCTCTCTCTCTCTCTCTCTCTCTCTCTCTCTCTCTCTCTCTCTCTCTCTCTCTCCCTGTCTTCCCTTTCTCTGTCTCTCTGTCTCTCTCACACCTTTTTTCCTCTCCTCTATTCTCTCCTCCTAATTCTCTCTCTCCTCTCCTTCCTCTCTCCTCTTTCTCCCTCTCTCCTCCTCTTCTTCTCTCTCTCCCTCGTGGACAGAGGTATTTTAAGTGTTTGGTGTTAGTCCAAGCTCCAGGTCTCTGTAGGACTCCACCAGGCTCCATCTGTCCCACTGCACACTCCAGTCTACAGCCTCCGCCCTGGGCCAAGCCATACCTCCCCTCCCTATACCTCCTACCTCCTACCTCCTACCACTTATTTATTAAAACTTCTATTTCCTACCTCCTATCTCCTACCTCCTACCACTTATTTATTAAAACTTCTATTTCCTACCTCCTATCTCCTACCTCCTACCACTTATTTCCTAAACCCTCTATTTCCTACCTCCTATCCCCTACCTCCTACCACTTATTTCCTAAAACTTCTATTTCCTACCTCCTATCTCCTACCTGAGGCCATGGTTCTCGACTGGAAAAAGGTGGCTTGCCCTCTCCGGGTGGGTGGAGAGTCCCTGCCTCAAGTGGAGGAGTTCAAGTATCTCGGGGTCTTGTTCTCGAGTGAGGGGAGGACGGAACGTGAGATTGACAGGCGGATCGGTGCAGCTCCAGACATGTTCTTCTGAAGTCCATTGTTCCTCTGGACGTTGCCACTTGTGAACCCTTTGTCAGCTCTGGCCTTGTGGAGCGTCCAGTCTTCTCCGACCCACCGCCCCTCCCTGCTCTTTCCAAACCCATGCGGCTGTTGTGAATGTACAGAAGAGACGTCCTCTTGTGCCTGGATGAGGTCAAGGCCAAAATATCCTCTGTATTTGGCTCCGTCCTTAAGATGGACTCCGACCTCAGTACCTGCTTCACCTGGAGCTGCCGGGCATGACCATGGCTCCTCCTCCTGCTCCTGGGCCTCTACACTTGTCTCTCATCATCTTCATCTCCAGTATAAAAGCCTGAGCTCTTCACACCACCTCTGTCAGATCGTCAGTTAACCTATGAGGTGAACATTTGTGCTGGCTGTTTTCTGAATCTTTGTGTATTTTGTTGTTTTTACTCATCTGCTCTGTTTGTTCTCTGCTCCAGCTCCTCCGGCAGCCTGGTGTACCAGTGTGGGCAACAAGCACGGCCAAGTGCTCAGTGCTCCCAGCCACAGAGGAGCACAGACTGTGCCCATGACAGTGAGGCTCATGAAGACCACAGGGAGACAGGAGCAGCACCACCCCCCATCATGTACATGAACCCACACAGACACTTCCAGGTCAGAGTTCTCATGTTCTCAGATGATGCAGTGGGATGAGGTCTATGTGAGCCTCCACATCTGGCACTTCATGCAAAGTTTCACTTCTGGAGTCGTCATGGAAGCTCATCCACTCTATGGGGTGTTTGTGGCTCGGTTCTCCTGCTGTATCTGTGAGTGGGAGCCAAAGCTGGCGCTGCTCTGCCAGAGGAGGACCAGGAGAGTGGAGCAGACCACCAGGCTGATCAGGCATTTTCCACCGCTGGATCATGAGCACATCCAGCATATCTAGAAGGACCAGTAGAGGCACATCACCTGTATTCAGGACCCTCAGGAGAACCCTGGGCCATGTGGAGCTCTGCACCTACATCTGTGCTCATGGTTCTACCTCCCTGGAGTCTTTCCACCTGCACTTGAACCACTTCATCCCAGGTGGATGATAGTTTTAGGCTGTTTTGTATCATTTAATGTGCATGCATATGTACTCTCTACATACTATGTATTCTGTTTTTGTTTTAACATGAACAAACTCCAGTGACACATATTTCCAGGTCTATCTTCTGGAAGGCTTGATGCACTAGAACTGGATGGAGGAGACTCTATTTATGATGCTGAACACAGTGACACCTTGTGCAGGTCCTACTGAAGGTAGACCTTCCACAGCAGCACCCTCCACAGCAGCACCCTCCACAGCAGCACCCTCCACAGCAGCACCCATCTATGTGGCAGCTCCATGTGCTCCTGTGGCTCCTGCTCTCACTCCGGCTGTGTCCTGCTTTACACAGAGGAACAGGTGATGCTCGGATGAAGAGGAATCCAGCGGAGCCCACAAAAGGAAATATGTCCATGGAAAACTACAGATTTTGGCCACAGTCACTATGACAGTGACACTTTCTGTCCTTAGACTTCTGGGGGCAAAACTTCAGAGCAATGGTTGACCAAGCAGCATCTGCTAAAGGAAACGCTCCTGTAATTGTCTCTTATTGTAAATATTGTATTAGATATGGCAATTTGTCAACTTGTAAACACAATACCATCTTTCTTCCAACTTAGATATAATGATAATCTTATCGATCATTGTAGATGGTGTACATAGAGCATTCTAACCTGGTTATGTCCGTACTTGCTCTAGTTGTTTTGGTGTGTGTTGACTGTAATAAAACGTTGTACTTTGTCCAGAGTGGTGTGTGTTGTTGTGCTCCGTGTGCAGCTGGACTGGAGTATCAGAGTTTACTGAAGTGAGGTCAGGGCAGCTGTAAAACCCTCAGCTCGTCTTTAGTCACACTGGGGGGTGAGCGAGGTCAGGGCAGGTGCATCCTCCTAAACTCAACTTTGTTGTACTTTTATGACCTTTAATTCTCATTATTGTCAAGTTCATCTTGTTGGATTTTCAAGAGTATTATTATGGAATAGTTAGCAGTAACCATGGCTATAAATAATTCTCCAAAGCAGAGTAAAGCTGATAATAGCTTCTATGTAGACAGATCTAATTCATCTGCAGTAATCTGCACTGTCTGGATCAATGGAAGATATGAAACATATTTAATGATAAATATAAATACAGTCAGAGATTCAAGTACACGCTTTGTTTAAACAGCACAAATAAATCAATAATTATGACAAATCTAAATTAACTAGACATATATTACAGATTAAAAGATTTCGTTAACTGCAGCTCTCTGACACTGTGACAGATCAATAAACACTTCATAAATAATATGTGTAATTCTGTATTTATTGACAAATGTAAAAACAATGACACTGTTTGTGCATGAATTCAACAACAGAGAGCAAAACAAACTAAGACAAGTTTCTATTATGCTTTTATTATGCCATAATCTCTGTGGTCTGAGGGGACTGCATATGTGCTCTGCTCGCACTGCGGAGGAGGAACGGAGAACATCTGTGCCAGATCTGAGGGTCGCTAGATCGAGACACATTAATAAACATCTGTTTACCAAAATATTCCAAAATACATGAGAGTGTAGCCTGAGCAGCCGCAGGTCATTCCCCGTGTGGACTCCTCTCTTATTCAACGAGCAGCGCATCACGTTCATGTGTGTGGAGCAGAGGAAACACTGGGCTTAACTTTAGCACAATCCACACAATCTGAGTTTATTAACTGGACTTGATCATCAACTACAGGAGATTGATCAGGGGTGTTTTACATGACTGTACACACAGCTCTGTGACACAGGCCACGGTCAGGGGCACACACATCGCCAAACGAAATCTTTCATTAAGGCGAGTGCAGGGAGCCACAAGAAACTCTTTTTATATTTGTTGTACACAACAAACAAGTCATAAATAAATATTTTAGGTTTTTGATCAATATTTTTACCTTTTTATGTCTTGGCTCGCAGGGAAATTTAATTGGAGAGCCCTGTCCTATAACCTCCTATTTCCTACCTCCTATCTCCTGTAACCTCTCATCTCCTATCTCCTATCTCCTTTAATCTCCTATCTCCTATTACCTACCATCTCCTACCTCCTATCTCCTATTTCCTATAGCCTCCTATCTCCTACCTCCTCTCTCCTCTCGGCTCCTATCACATATACCGTACCTGGCTCTTTGTAGATGTTCTTGAGAAGTGCAGCTCTGAGTCACTGTGGGTGTGAACCTGCACATCGTCTTTAGTGTTTCAGGATGTCACATGTTTGGTGCATGAAGAGTCTGCTGCTCTGTCATGTACACCCCAGGAACAACACACTGGTCTTTCAGGAACTGTCCTCAAGCTCCTACTTCCTATCTCCTACCTCCTACTCCTATCTCCTACCTCCCTACTCTTATTTCATATCTCCTACCGCTTATCTCTTACCTCCTACTGTTATTTCCTACCTACTATCTCCTACCTCCTTCCTCCTATCTCCTACCTCCTATCTTCTACCTCTTATCTCCTACCTCCTATCCCCTACCTCCTATCTCCTACCTCCTACCGCTTATCTCCTACCTCCTACTCTTATCTCCTACCTCCTACTATTATTTCATATCTCCTACCACTTATCTCCTACCACCTACTCTTATCTCCTACCTCCTACTCTTATTTCATATCTCCTACCGCTTATCTCCTACCTCCTACTGTTATTTCCTACATACTATCTCCTATCTCCTAC